CCCCCAGGATGAAGTAAGGATTATTATAATGTCCATTAAATGGATGCCATCGAGCAATTTTAAGACACCCTGCTTAATTGTACAGCTGAACTCAATGGCTATGTGGTTATATGTATTCAAAGAGAAAAACCCTACAGCAGCTTTTGGAGGGAACCAGTTTGGACTTGGCTTTTTTGGGGAAGGGTATGGCGTGGAATTCACTTACAGGAAGTCTCCTGGATCACACTTGTTAAGTGGGTTTGGGATTAAGCATGGCCTGGAAATTCTCCCGTGGGGTCCCTGGTACATATTGCCAACTTGGGCATTTGGCTGTCTTTTAATTGGCAAAAGAACCTCGAACACAGCACTACAGAGCCAGCACTGCTCAGGATCCAGGGGAGTGTATGCAGGGCCAAGCTAGAGGCTAATGCCAACTGGACAAATAATGCTTTTGTCCCTAGGAATGCCTGGGTCCCGTCCATGACAAGGGCCACAGCTGTAGTAGCCCCGCCCTCTCATTCTCAATCTTGCAGGCCCTTTGGCACCAGCTCTGCCTCAGCCTTTAGTAACCTTCATTCAGACAACTCACAGCTGACCAGGTTACTCTCCGCATTTGGCACACACAATGTACACATGCCTGCCTCCTCTGAAGCCACCACCTCAAAATTGCCATCAAAAATAGGTTAGGCGTATGGAGGCACATCTGCTGTCTAGGTGCTGGGAGAAAAATGGAAACCCAAAGTTTCACAGTCAAGGTCAAGTTATTCGCTCCATCCATAAGTTCTCTCGTTATCTGAACAGTGCATCCCACAGGTGTAGAGAAAGGGCAGATGCAGCCAGATCTGATGCATGCCCTGTCCTTGCTGGGCTCTGACAATGGGTTTGTCTCCAGGTCTCTGAGTTACACTGCCAGCCATGGGGTGTGTCATGATCAGGGCTCCAGAAAAGCGGTTCACTGACCACTGTAGCTTCCCTCCTGACAGCCCCAGCATAACTCTGACCTCCCCTTAATTTCAAGAAGCTGCAGATGCCAGTGAGGGCCAGGATACAAGGATACAAAATGGGGATGCAGCACAGGTGAGCCCCATTGCAGGAACTTAAGGCACCTAGGCCCATCCAGTGCTGCCTTCAATATTCTATCCTCAAGGAGACTGGACCAACAGCTCCAC